GTCCCACCCCCTGCCACTCTCTGCGGTCCCAGGGCCATGTCGGTCTCTGTAGTCCCACCCCCTGCCGGTCCTCTGTTTCCACACCCCACCGGTCCCTGTGGTCCCACCCCCTGCCACTCTCTGCGGTCCCAGGCCACGTCGGTCTCTGCGGTCCCACCCCCCGCCAGTCCTCCCTGTTTCCTGCTCCCACACCCCACCGATCTATGCGGTCCCCCCCCCCCGCTGGTCTCTGTGGTCCCACCCCCTGCCACTCTGTGGTCCCACCCCCCACCGGTCTCTGCGGTCCCACCCCCTGCCACTGTGGTCCCACCCCCCGCCGGTCCTCCCTGTTTCCTGCTCCCACACCCCCACCGATCTATGCAGGGTCCCCCCCCCTGCCACTCTGTGGTCCCACCCCCCCACCGGTCTCTGCGTCCCACCCCCTGCCACTCTGTGGTCCACTCCTCCCTGTTTCCTGCTCCCACACCCCCCCCCCCCCGCTGGTCTCTGTGGTCCCACCCCCTGCCACTCTGTGGTCCCACCCCCCGCCGGTCTCTGCGGTCCCACCCCCCCGTCCTTTTCCTGCTCCCACACCCCCAGCTTGGTCTTTGGTAAGATTCGGGGAGCGCAGCCCGTACCGCGATTACACAATAAAGGAATTTACAGAATACGTTTTTTTTTTCATAAAATACATAAAATCTTACAACTGCGGAATTTATTCGGCTATAAAAGTCGTGACGTACACAGAGTTCTCCTACCCAAGACAGGCACTTTGTCAGGACTGAGCGGGGGAAGCGGACAGCGCGGTCACCTGACCTCACCCGTTCTGCTGGTTCTAGAATCGTGTCGGCTAAGCACCAGGGAAAGGGAAGACGTCCAAAATGAAGAAAAGCATTCTGGGAGATTGGGGGAGGCACTTCACAGAGGAATACAGCATAGTCCATGGAGAGGGCGGAGCCATACAATGGCAGCCATGTCCGGGGGAGGGGACGCAGCTGGGGGCGGAGACAGTTGCAGCATTCTAATTACCTGTCTGGCGGGGGATGTGCTGAACCTGCCCCCCCACTGCAGAGATTCCAGGGGTTCCCAAAGGATGAGGACCGAGTCCGGTACAAACGTATTGTCTTCATAGAGGAGAAGATAAACCCAACGCGTTTCGGGGGCTCAGAACTCCCTTCATCAGGGCTTACTATAACAATGACCACCAGACCGGTGACTGCACCGCCCACATCCTCCAGTGCCCGCCCACATCATCCAGTGCCCACCCACATCCTCCAGTGCCCACCCACATCCTCCAGTGCCCACCCACATCACCACCAGCCCTGATGCAGGGAGTTCTGAGCCCCCGAAACACGTTGGGTTCATCTGCTGATCCTCTAACTGCACTTGTAGCCTATGGCCCTCTCCTTTGACACTTTGGTCACATTTCGGGGACCCCCCCCCGGAAAAGCTGGAGGTCAAACTTAAAGCGGAACTAAACCCTCCAATCCTGTCCAGCCAAGGAAGCCGCCATCTTGGCCTGCAGTTGCCATGGTGCAGCACGTGGTCAGTTACCATTACAGCCATTTGAAGGCTTGACAGTTCAGTTGAGAGCACAAGCAACTGTTATTGTTTACAGCATGCCTTGGCTACAGATTGATGGGTTTAGTTCCACTTTAAGTCTCCGCCCTCTTGGATTCCAGGTGTATTAAAATTAAGATCCCCCCCCCAGATGGTTCCTCCCATCAACCCTGAGATCACCATTGTGTCCTACAGGGACCTTGGTCAGTGGGAGGAACCTGAGGAACCTCAGCACCCAGTGGGGGGGGGGGGGGAGGTGCTATTCCATACCCCAGAGGTGTCAGTATTGGGGGGGGGGGGTTCTGCAGGAGAGCGAATGGCCCGCCAGACAAGGAGGAACAATGCTGCTTCCTCTCAGGGTATTGCTGCTCCAGGCATCTCCAACCCCGGACAATCCAACAATGGAGGCAACAGAGGAACAACCAATGAGCAGTCAGTGTGATCTTCTCATTACAACATCCCGAGTCGGCCAATCAAAGTCTTCATATGGCCGGGTATTCATCTCTGAACGTCATCCTAGCGAGTATTTAAAGCTGAACTCCGGGCAAAAAAAACAAAACCTTTCATCCTAATAGATTCCTCCATAACCCCAAAGGATACCCCCCCCCCCCCAATGCCGTCAAAAACCCTGATATTACCTTGTAAAGGTAGCAATGACATCATCACCGTGCTGTACAGAGAGCAGAGCTGTGGGAGGGGCTCCACCCACTACAGGAGGGGGCGGAGACCAGACCAGTCCCCCTCAAGCGCAGAGAGCAGCAGTGAGCGGTCCTTCTCACAGGAAGTCCCTACACCAAGACACAGGAAATACACAACGAATGGGTTCAGACGATGCTAATCCCGGAGTTCACCTTTAAACACTTCAGGTCAAATGATTGGCTCTCCATGCAGTCAGAGATGAGACAGCGTCCCCTGCAGGTGGGGCACGGCCATACGTCTTCCCAAGAGTAACACGCACAAAGAGCCGCCACTTCTGTCCTTATAGTGAGCAGATCCGTATCAGCCAATCAGAGCCAAGTATGACTGGAGCCCCCGATCTTTATATACCAGCCCATCAAACACCGGACCACCCCCTGGGATCCAACAACCACCCCCAGACCAGACCACCGCCCCGGGGTCCAACAACCACCCCCAGACCGGACCACCCCCCCCCGGGTCCAGCAACCACCCCCCCCAGACCGGACCACCCCCTGGGATCCAACAACCACCCCCAGACCGGACCACCCCCGGGGGTCCAACAACCACCCTCGGACCGGACCACCACCCCCAGGGTCCAACAACCACCCCCAGACCGGACCACCCCCCCCGGGGTCCAACAACCACCCCCAGATCGGACCACCCCCCTGGGATCCAACAACCACCCCCAGATCGGACCACCCCCCCCGGGATCCAACAACCACCCCCCGAATGGACCACCCCTCCGGGATCCAACAATCACCTCCAGACCGGACCACCCCCCGGGGTCCAGCAAACACCCCCAGAGCGGACCACCCCCAGAGCGGACCACCCCCCGGGGTCCAGCAACCACCCCCAGAGCGGACCACCGCCCGGGGTCCAGCAACCACCCCCAGACTGGACCACCCCCCGGGGGTCCAGCAACCACCCCCAGACTGGACCACCCCCCCGGGATCCAACAACCACCCTCAGACCGAACCACCCCCCAGGGTCCAGAAACCACCCCCAGACCGGACCACCCCCAGACCGAACCACCCCCCAGGGTCCAGAAACCACCCCCAGACCGGACCACGCCCCGGGATCCAACAATCACCCCCAGAATGGACCACCCCTCCGGGATCCAACAATCACCTCCAGACCGGATCACCCCTGGGATCCAACCCATCACACACATCTGTAACATTGCCATTTTTCCTATGCCCCCCCCCCCCCCCCCCCCATATATGACGTCCTGTCAGTATTCCGTGTCTGCTGGGCAGTAGTCATCATAGATTGAGGTTTTTTTGTTTGGATCCCATTGGTACTCCAGTTCTGTGGCTACTATCAGATGGCTGGCCTTGTCTGGAGGGCGGGTATATAAGGACAGGGGGATCCAATCACACGTAGCCTGGCTGAGGCGTGGCTCTTTGTGCCGTTACCCCCACCCGATTGCTTTTCTTCCTTTTGGCGTCGGGTTCCCTTTAAGGCATCTGCATAGTAATTTGTACAAGTCTGGTTGTCTGCAACCGTTAAATAATAAACCCTGAGTATCATGGCTGGAAGGAGGAGCCGCCCCCCCCCCCCGTGTCCAAGGAAGGAGGAGCCGCCCCCCCCCCCGTCCAAGGAAGGAGGAGCCGCCCCCCCGTGTCCAAGGAAGGAGGAGCCGCCCCCCCCCCCGTGTCCAAGGAAGGAGGAGCCGCCCCCCCCCCGTGTCCAAGGAAGGAGGAGCCGCCCCCCCCCCCGTCCAAGGAAGGAGGAGCCGCCCCCCCCCCCCCGTCCAAGGAAGGAGGAGCCGCCCCCCCCCCCCCGTGTCCAAGGAAGGAGGAGCCCCCCCCCCCCCCCCCCCCGTGTCCCAGGAAGGAGGAGCCGCCCCCCCCCCCGTGTCCCAGGAAGGAGGAGCCGCCCCCCCCCCCCCCCCCGTGTCCAAGGAAGGAGGAGCCGCCCCCCCCCCCGTGTCCAAGGAAGGAGGAGCCGCCCCCCCCCGTGTCCCAGGAAGGAGGAGCCGCCCCCCCGTGTCCCAGGAAGGAGGAGCCCGCCCCCCCGTGTCCCAGGAAGGAGGAGCCGCCCCCCCCCCGTGTCCCAGGAAGGAGGAGCCGCCCCCCCCCCGTGTCCCAGGAAGGAGGAGCCGCCCCCCCCGTGTCCCAGGAAGGAGGAGCCGCCCCCCCGTGTCCCAGGAAGGAGGAGCCGCCCCCCCCGTGTCCGCCCCCCCCCGTGTCCAAGGAAGGAGGAGCCGCCCCCCCCCCGTGTCCAAGGAAGGAGGAGCCGCCCCCCCCCCCGTGTCCAAGGAAGGAGGAGCCGCCCCCCCCCGTGTCCAAGGAAGGAGGAGCCGCCCCCCCCCCCCCCCGTGTCCAAGGAAGGAGGAGCCGCCCCCCCCCCCCCGTGTCCCAGGAAGGAGGAGCCGCCCCCCCCCCCCGTGTCCAAGGAAGGAGGAGCCGCCCCCCCCCGTGTCTTAGGAAGGAGGAGCCGCCCCCCCCCCCCCCCGTGTCCAAGGAAGGAGGAGCCGCCCCCCCCCGTGTCCAAGGAAGGAGGAGCCGCCCCCCCGTGTCCAAGGAAGGAGGAGCCGCCCCCCCCGTGTCCAAGGAAGGAGGAGCCGCCCCCCGTGTCCAAGGAAGGACCGCCCTCCTCTCCGCAGGTAAAGGTTTCAGTGTTTTACTGGATTTCAGCCGAGTCTGAGGTTTGGATCCAGCAAGAGAAGTCCAAAGGCCTCGCCGTGACTCCGGTGAAAGTTCTCTCTGCCGCGTCGGACTTCAGCATCATTGCACCGAGAAGCTTTAATAGTGGTAAAGTAAGAAAAGTAGTATAAAATATTAGACTCTTTCCCCTCCCCCCCCCCCCCCCCCCAAAAAGAAGCAGGTTTTCCATCCGTGGCAGCAGTACGTAGGAAATCTGAACCGTGACAGTGCAAGGCCGGCAGAAGCAAATGAGGGGGACGTCTTGCGGCACGCCGCGGCCTTGTCTCTGGCGTCCGATCTCAGGAAAGCGATGAAGCGCCATGAATCTACTCCGTACAACCCACATGATGAGCCGTTAGTGCAAGCTGAGGATAAAAGGGACGTCGCCCGAGACGATGTGCTGAAAACCCCCCCGCGATGATCTTCGGAGATCGCTCCCCCCCCTATAACAGAACGCACCTCTTCGGGGCCTTCTTCGTCACGGGGTTCAGAACGGCTCGGACGGCCTCGGCGAACACTTCCCTCACCCCTTCCTGGTGCAGGGCGGAGCACTCCAGGTACTTGACGGCCCCGATCTGCTTGGCGAGCGACGAGCCTTGCTGGGGGGTGGTGGGGGCCAAGCTTTGCTCTTTGAGCTTTTTTATAGTCTCTGCGTCGTTCCGGAGATCCCGCTTGGTGCCCACGAGTAGAACGGGCACGTTGGGGCAGTGGTGGGAGACCTCCGGGTGCCACTTGTGTCTGACGTTGGCGTAGGAAGACGGGCTGCCGATGGAGAAGCAGATGATGAAGACGTTGGTCTGGGGGTAGGACAGGGTGCGGAGGCGGTCGTACTCCTCCTGCCCAGCCGTTGTCCCATAAGTTCAGGCTGACCGTTCTCCCGTCCACCGTCATCTGGGCGCTGTAATTGTCGAAGACGGTGGGGATGTACTCCTCCGGGAAGGCGTTGGTGGTGTAACTGATAAGAAGGCAAGTCTTCCCAACGGCTCCATCACCGACAACTACACACTTAATGGTCTGCATTCTTCATGAAGTCCGGCAACCTGGAGGCAGGAGAGGGAGAAGCGTTACTACCGAGAATTCAGGAGAAATGGAGAGTGTTAGAGGACACACGGGGGGGGGTTTAGGGGGGACAAAGGCACTTTAACAATTTGGTTAATATGTAACGTCACATTAGAAGATCAGACCACGACCCAACGGCAACGTCACCCCAGACTGAGCCAGGATGTCCGTACTAGGCCGGGTATGGGAGGGCCCTGAAGGCTCCAGGATGTCCGTACTAGGCCGGGTATGGGAGTGAGGGCCCTGAAGGCTCCAGGATGTCCGTACTAGGCCGGGTATGGGAGTGAGGGCCCTGAAGGCTCCAGGCTGTCCGTACTAGGCCGGGTATGGGAGTGAGGGCCCTGAAGGCTCCAGGCTGTCCGTACTAGGCCGGGGTATGGAGGGCCCTGAAGGCCCAGGATGTCCATACTATGCTGGGTATGGGAGGGCCCTGAAGGCTCCAGGATGTCCTTACTAGGCCGGGTATGGGAGTGAGGGCCCTGAAGGCTCCAGGCTGTCCGTACTAGGCGGGGTATGGGAGGGCCCTGAAGGCTCCAGGATGTCCGTACTAGGCCGGGTATGGGAGTGAGGGGGCCCTGAAGGCTCCAGGCTGTCCGTACTAGGCCAGGTATGGGAGTGAGGGGCCCTGAAGGCTCCAGGATGTCCGTACTAGGCCGGGTATGGGAGTGAGGGCCCTGAAGGCTCCAGGATGTCCATACTAGGCCGGGTATGGGAGTGAGGGCCCTGAAGGCTCCAGGCTGTCCGTACTATGCTGAGTATGGGAGTGAGGGGCCCTGAAGGCTCCAGGCTGTCCGTACTAGGCCGGGTATGGGAGAGTGAGGGCCCTGAAGGCTCCAGGATGTCCGTACTAGGCCAGGTATGGGAGTGAGGGGCCCTGAAGGCTCCAGGATGTCCGTACTATGCCGAGGCTGGGAGTGAGGGGCCCTGAAGGCTCCAGGCTGTCCATACTAGGCCGGGTAGGTTATGGGAGTGAGGGCCCTGAAGGCCTCCAGGATGTCCGTACTAGGCCGGGTATGGGAGTGAGGGCCCTGAAGGCTCCAGGATGTCCGTACTAGGCCGGGTATGGGAGTGAGGGCCCTGAAGGCTCCAGGCTGTCCGTACTAGGCCAGGTATGGGAGGGCCCTGAAGGCTCCAGGATGTCCATACTATGCTGGGTATGGGAGGGCCCTGAAGGCTCCAGGATGTCCTTACTAGGCCGGGTATGGGGGTGAGGGCCCTGAAGGCCTCCAGGCTGTCCGTACTAGGCCGGGTATGGGAGGGCCCGAAGGCTCCAGGATGTCCGTACTCTAGGCCGGGTATGGGGATGGGAGTGAGGGCCCTGAAGGCTCCAGGCTGTCCGTACTAGGCCAGGTATGGGAGTGAGGGGCCCTGAAGGCTCCAGGATGTCCGTACTAGGCCGGGTATGGGAGTGAGGGCCCTGAAGGCTCCAGGATGTCCATACTAGGCGGGTATGGGAGTGAGGGCCTGAAGGCTCCAGGCTGTCCGTACTAGGCCAGGTATGGGAGTGAGGGGCCCTGAAGGCTCCAGGATGTCAGTACTAAGCCGGGTATGGGAGTGAGGGCCCTGAAGGCTCCAGGATGTCCATACTAGGCTGGGTATGGGAGTGAGGGCCCAGAAGGCTCCAGGATGTCCATACTAGGCCGGGTATGGGAGTGAGGGCCAGAAGGCTCCAGGCTGTCCGTACTAGGCCGGGTATGGGAGTGAGGGCCCTGAAGGCTCCAGGCTCTGTCTGTACTATGCCGGGGAATATGGGAGTGAGGGGACTGAAGGCTCCAGGCTGTCCGTACTATGCAGAGTCTGGGAGTGAGGGGCCCTGAAGGCTCCAGGATGTTCATACTATGCAGAGCCTGGGAGTGAGGGGCCCTGAAGGCTCCAGGATGTCCATACTATGCAGAGCCTGGGATGTGAGGGGCCTGAAGGCTCCAGGATGTCCATACTATGCAGAGCCTGGGAGTGAGGGGCCCTGAGTACTCCTCCTCTTCTTGGATCCACCCCCCCACTGGTGCTCCTGGCTCCTCCTCTTCTTCAATGAGTGCGCATACAGAAAGCTACTTCCTGTTGGGGCATACATGTGGTCTCACTCCCGAGCCATGTTCTGTGTATCCATTCACCATACAGAGTGGCTTCGGGGGGGGGGGGGGGGTTGTAAAGTAATGGGGGGGTGTCTACCTGGGAATGTGGGATTGGATGGTTGGGGGGGGAATGGGAAGAATAGTAATGGGGGGTGGTGTCTACCTGTGAATGCTGGGATTGGATGATTGGGTTTGGGGGGGGGGGGATAGTAATGAGGGTGTGTGTCTACCTAGGAATGCTAGGATTGGATGATTGGGCATGATTTTGGGGGGGGGGGGGGAATAGTAATGGGGGTGTGTCTACCTGGGAATGCTAGGATTGGATTTGGGGGGTGGGGGGGGGGATAGTAATGGGGGTGTGTCTACCTGGGAATGCTGGGATTTGGATATGGGTAAAGCACTCAGCCTTTACAGCCACTCCCATCACAGAGCCTCAGCAGTGAGTGGAGGGGATGCCGGGGTGGCTCAATGTACCGGATCCCGCATTTCTCTCCCACCATACACAAACCATAGAGGGCGCTACACAGTGCAGGAGAGGGAGGGAAGAGTACAAGTGTGTATGTAGGGGGTCTCTCTGATGGAGACACAGGGACAGGAGGCAATGGGGACACAGGGACAGGAAGTCATGGGGGGGAAGGGGGAGATGGGGACACAGGGACAGGAAGTTTGGGGGGGGGAGATGGGGACACAGGGACAGGAAGTCATGGGGGGGGGAGGTTGATGGGGACACAGGGACAGGAAGTCATGGGGGGGTGATGGGGACACAGGGACAGGAAGTGATGAGAGGGGGGGGTAGTGATGGGGACACAGGGACAGGAAGTGATGAGGGGGGGGGGTGATGGGGGACACAGAGGACAGGAAAGTGATGGGGGGGGTGATGGGGACACAGGGACAGGAAGTCATGGGGGGGGTAGGTGATGGGGACACAGGGACAGGAAGTGATGAGGGGAGGTGGTGGGGACACAGGGACAGGAAGTGATGAGGGGGGGGGGGGTGATGGGGACACAGGGACAGGAAGTGATGAGGGGGGGGGTGATGGAGACACAGGGACAGGAAGTGATGGGGGGGGTGATGGAGACACAGGGACAGGAAGTGATGAGAGGGGGGGTGATGGAGACACAGGGACAGGAAGTGATGGGGGGGGGGAGGTGGTGATGGAGACACAGGGACAGGAAGTGATGAGAGGGGGGGGGGTGATGGGGTGGGGGGTGATGATGAGACACAGGGACAGGAAGTGATGAGGGGGGGGTGATGGAGACACAGGGACAGGAAGTGATGAGAGGGGGGGGGGGGTGATGGAGGGACAGGAAGTGATGAGAGGGGGGGGGGGGGTGATGGAGGGACAGGAAGTGATGAGATGGGGGGGGGGGGGTGATGGAGGGACAGGAAGTGATGAGAGGGGGGGTGATGGAGGGACAGGAAGTGATGAGAGGGGGGGGGTGATGGAGGGACAGGAAGTGATGAGAGGGGGGGGTGATGGAGGGACAGGAAGTGATGAGAGGGGGGGGTGATGGAGGGACAGGAAGTGATGAGAGGGGGGGGGTGATGAAGGGACAGGAAGTGATGAGAGGGGGAGTGATGGACAGGAAGTGAAGAGGGGGGGTGATGGACAGGAAGTGAAGAGGGGGGGGGGTGATGGACAGGAAGTGAAGAGGGGGGGGGGTGATGGACAGGAAGTGAAGAGGGGGGGGGTGATGGACAGGAAGTGAAGAGGGGGGGGGGGGGGGGTGATGGACAGGAAGTGAAGAGGGGGGGGTGGTTATGGACAGGAAGTGAAGAGGGGGGGGGTGATGGACAGGAAGTGAAGAGGGGGGGTGAGGGACAGGAAGTGAAGAGGGGGGGGGTGATGGGGACACAGGGACAGGAAGTGATGGGGGACACAGGGACAGGAAGTGATGGGGACACAGGGACAGGAAGTGATAGGTGTGATGGGGGCACAGGGACAGGAAGTGATGGGTGTGATGGGGGCACAGGGACAGGAAGTGATGGGTGTGATGGGGGCGGGGGCACAGGAAGTGATGGGGGGTGATGAGGACACAGCAATAGGAAGTGATAGGGACAGGAAGGGATAGGGGGGACACGGGGATAGGAAGAGACGGGGACAGGAAGTGATGGGGACACAGGGACAGGAAGTGATGGGGTGTGATGGGGGACAGGAAGTGATGGGGGGTGATGAGGACACAGCACATAGGAAGTGATAGGGACAGGAAGGGATAGGGGGATGAGGACACGGCGGATAGGAAGTGACGGGGACAGGAAGTGATGGGGACACAGGGACAGGAAGTGATGGGGACACAGGGGGGACAGGAAGTGATGGGGACACAGGGACAGGAAGTGATGGGGGGGGGGACAGGAAGTGATGGGGGGTGATGAGGACACAGCAATAGGAAGTGATGGGGGACACAGAGACAGTAAGTGATGGGGGGTGGGTGTGAAGTCCTGGCAGGACCCCTCCCCCCCGTGCATACAATGGGTTGTAGTTGGCGGGATCTCTCGGGGCGGAATGTTAGTAAATGTCACTCATCAGATCTCCGGGGTCCTTCCCGTCCCCAGCCCAGCTCCCCGCACCCCCGGGGCCCCTCCTCACCCAGCCGCCTCCGTCTCCCGGCTCTTCCTGATCTCCGATCACTTCCGGTATCGCTCTGAGCTCCTCTTCCGTCCCGCCCACCGCGGTGCATTATGGGGGATGTAGTGCGGACGTTCTATATCAGCACCGCCAGAGGGCACTGTGACATCACACTTCACTTGGAGCCAATCACAGAAGAGCTCCCCACACCTATCTGTATACAATCAGAGTCCCGCCCCCTCCTGTATACATTGTATATACACGATATTTGCCCCAAGTATTGTCCCCGCCTCCAATCATGTTATACGGGTGATCCAATCCCCTCCATATCATGTGATTCAGGTGATCCAATCCCCTCCATATCACGTGACTCAGGCGTTCCAATCCCCTCCATATCACGTGATTCAGGCGTTCCAATCCCCTCCATATCACGTGATTCAGGCGTTCCAATCCCCTCCATATCACGTGATTCAGGCGTTCCAATCCCCTCCATATCACGTGATTCAGGCGTTCCAATCCCCTCCATATCACGTGATTCAGACGTTCCAATCCCCTCCATATCACATGATTCAGGCGTCCCCATCCCCTCCATATCACGTGATTCAGGGCGTCCATCCCCCTCCATATCATGTAATTCAGGCGTTCCAATCCCCTCCATATCATGTGATTCAGGTGTTCCAATCCCCTCCATATCATGTGATTCAGGCGTTTCAATCCCCTCCCAATCATGTGATTCAGGTGCTCCAATCCCCCTCCATATCATGTGATTCAGGTGCTCCATTCCCCTCCATATCATGTGATTCAGGTGCTCCATTCCCCTCCCAATCATGTGATTCAGGTGTTCCAATCCCCTCCATATCATGGGATTCAGGTGCTCCATTCCCTCCTCCATATCATGGGATTCAGGTGCTCCATTCCCCTCCATATCATGGGATTCAGGTGTTCCAATCCCCTCCCAATCATGTGATTCAGGTGCTCCAATCCCCTCCATATCATGTGATTCAGGTGTTCCAATCCCCTCCATATCATGTGATTCAGGCGTTCCAATCCCCTCCATATCATGTGATTCAGGTGTTCCAATCCCCTCCATATCATGTGATTCAGGGGTTCCAATCCCCTCCATGGACACAGGTGTATACAATCAAGCCCTAGGCATGCAGACGGCTTCTACAAACATTGGTGAAAGAATGGGTCGCTCTCAGGAGCTCAGTGGCTCCAAGCGTTGGTCCCGTGATAGGTGGCCACCTGGGCAATAAGTCCATCCGTGACATTTCCTGGCTACTAAATATTCCACCAACTGTTAGGATTATAACAAAGTGGAAGCAACTGGAAACAACAGCCACTCAGCCACCAAGTGGTAGGCACGTCACATGACAGGGCGGGGTCAGCGCATGCTGAAGGCACAGTGCGCAGAAGTCGCCAACTGTCTGCAGGAGTCAATAGCTAAAGACCTCCAAACATGGTGTGGCCTTCAGATGAGCCAACAACAGTGCATAGAGATCTTCATGGAATGGGTTTCCATGGCCGAGCAGCTGCATCCAAGCCTTACATCACCAAGTGCAATGCAAAGCGTCGGATGCCGTGGTGTAAAGCATGCCGCCACTGGACTCTAGAGCCAAGGAGAGATGTTCTCTGGTGGGGTAGTGACCAATCACGCTTCTCTGTCTGGCAAATCCGATGCGGACGTGTCTGGGTTTGGCGGTTGGCCAGGCAGAACGAACGGTTTCTTGCCTGACTGCATTGTGCCGAGTGTAAAGTTTGGTGGAGGGGGGGTTGGTTATTATGGTGTGTGGGGTTGTTTTTCAGGGGTTGGGGCTTGGCCCCCCTAGTTCCAGTGAAGGGAACTCTTAAGGTGAGACATTTTGGACAATTTCATGCTCCCAACTTTGTGGGAAGAGTTTGGGGATGGCCCCTTCCTGTTCCATTTTTACATGACTGCCCACCAGTGCACAAAGCAAGGTCATAAAGACATGGAGGAGCCAGTTTGGGGTGGAGGAACTTGACTGTCCTGCACAGAGTCCTGACCCTCAACCCCATAGAACACTTGTGGGGATGAATTAGAGCGGAGACTGCGAGCCAGGCCCTCCTCCCACCGACATCAGTGCCTGACCTGACAAATGTGCTTCTGGAAGAATGGTCCAAACCTTCCATAGACACCCACTCCTAAACCTTGTGGACGGCCTTTCCCATGAGAAGATTGAAGCTGTTATAGCTGCAAAGGGCGGGGCCAACTCAATATTGAACCCCCTACGGACTAAGACTGGGGGGCCATTAAAGGTTCATGTGTGTGGAAAGGGGCCAACCCGCTCACATAGGGCTGACCCTATGGACTAAGACATCATGTGGAGGCCCATCACATAAGAGGTTTGATATGTGCTGTTAGCCATTATAGCTGCATAGAGGGCGGGGCCAACTCAATATTGAACACTACGGACTAAGACTGGGGGGCCATTAAAGGTCATGTGTGTGGAAAGGGCGGGGATGTACAACTCAATATTGAACCCTACGGACTAAGATCTGGGTGGGCCAATTAAATGTAGTGTGCGTGGAAAGGCGGGGCGGGTTGCCAATTCTCAATATTGAACCCTACGGGACTAAAGACTGGGGGGGCCATTAAAGGTCATGTGCGTGGGAAAGGGCGGGGAGGGCGGGGCCAACTCAATATTGAACCCTATGGACTAAGACTGGGAGGCAATTAAAGGTCATGTGCGTGGACAAACCTGGGATACTGGGGCCAACCCAATATTGAACCTACGGACTAAAAGGCCATTAAAGGTCATGTGAGTGAGAACCCCTTAAAGGTCATGTGAGTGGAAGGCTGGGCGGACCGGGGATACCTTTGGCAATATAGTGTGTGTATAATAAGAGCCCCACCCCCTCCTGTATACAGTGTACAGTATATAGGAGACAGACCATAAATAGACAATGCTCAATGAGACAAAAACATATATATGTGTTCTACCATAAAAGGTAAGATGTAAAATGAAGTCTTCTCCACCACTCGTCAGTCATTAATGAAGTCGTCTCCCAACACCACGTGTAATAGGCCACCTAATACCGGGGATGATACAGTCCACAAACTGAAAGAGAACTGAGAGTCCCATAGGGGGCGTCACATGGATCCAATCAAGTCTTCTCCACCATTCGTCAGTAACAAATGAGGTCTCCACTCACCAGAAGGTGTTCACCTCCATTTTGGGAGGCCAGGTGAAGCTATGGCAATCAAATGGCGTATGGCCTCCCAACTGCAGACTCTCATGAGATGAACCTTCAAGCTCTCCTTTCTTATGGTGACTCTCAAGGAATCTCAAATAAAAAACAATATTCACAAGATTGCGGGAAGTGCACCAATTATGAAGAACCATGGTCCATATATTGAGGTGCCTGTATCCCGGCACCAGCGTGTGCTCCAAGCCTTGCATTAGCGGGCTGGATGTGACGTCACGTGGAAACCCGGAAGTGACGGGACCACGCCTCTACATGTATCACCTGGCAGCGTGTTCCTGAAGATGAAGATCCTGTTATCAGGTCACTTCCCAGGAAGCTTCTGGAGGAGAGGATTTTGACTTCTGCTTTCAGTGTGTCACTGGCCTTAAAGGATTGCCCCGGCTCCGTAATGAGGGAGGGGTTGCGTTTAATTAACCTGGAGAGAATCCCTTTGAAGTTTAGGGATCAAGCCTGGCTCGCTTTCCATGGAAGGCTCTATGTGAGAGGGAACCTGAAGCACCGCCCTGTGGACGTACGATCGGGATTGTCCTAGAGCTGAATCCATGGAAAGCTCTATGTGAGAGGGAACCTGAAGCACCGCCCTGTGGACGATCGGGATTGTCCTAGGGCTGAGTCCATGGAAAAGCTCTATGTGAGAGGGAACCTGAAGCACCCGCCCTGTGGACGATCGGGATTGTCCCTAGAGCTGAATCCATGGAAAGCTCTATGTGAGAGGGAACCTGAAGCACCGCCCTGTGGACGATCGGGATTGTCCTAGAGCTGAGTCCATGGAAGGCTCTATGTGAGAGGGAACCTGAAGCATCGCCCTGTGGACGATTGGGATTGTCCTAGGGCTGAGTCCATGGAAGGCTCTATGTGAGAGGGAACCTGAAGCACCGCCCTGTGGACGATCGGGATTGTCCTAGAGCTGAATCCATGGAAAGCTCTATGTGAGAGGGAACCTGAAGCATCGCCCTGTGGATGATTGGGATTGTCCTAGGGCTGAGTCCATGGAAGGCTCTATGTGAGAGGGAACCTGAAGCACCGCCCTGTGGACGATCGGGGATTGTCCTAGAGCTGAATCCATGGAGGTAAGCTCTATGTGAGAGGGAACCTGAAGCACTCGCCCTGTGGGAAGATCGGGATTGTCCTAGGGCTGAGTCCATGGAAGCTCTATGTGAGAGGGAACCTGAAGCACCGCCCTGTGGACGATCGGGATTGTCCTAGAGCTGAGTCCATGGAAGGCTCTATGTGAGAGGAAACCTGAAGCACCGCCCTGTGGACGATCAGGATTGTCCTACAGCTGAGTCCATGGAAGGCTCTATGTGAGAGGGAAACCTGAAGCACCGCCCTGTGGACGATTGGCATTCTCCAAAGCTGAGTCCATGGAAGGCTCTATGTGAGAGGGAACCTGAAGCACTGCCCTGTGGAAGATCGGGATTGTCCTAGGGCTGAGTCCATGGAAGGCTCTATGTGAGAGGGAACCTGAAGCACCGCCCCGTGGATGATCGGGATTGTCCTAGAGCAGAGTGTGTTGGTAAAGTGGAGTCTATGGACAACTTTCTGCTCCAGTGCCCCTTTAACATAGAGGTTGTATCCTAAAGGGTGGGGAGGGTTCTGGGACATCCCCTTTCTCTATCGCATGAGTTATGCAGAGGGGTGTACGGGGCATTCCCACCTCGCTGGGACTTTGATTTTTTCCATACAGGGCTTTTTTTTTTGTTAGTATAGTTACATCTGGGGGGTCAGTGGGAAGAATGTCCCTTACATTGGGGGGGTCAGTGGTGAAGAATGTTCCTTACATTTGGGGGTCAGTGGGAAGAATGGTCCCTTACATTGGGGGGCAGTGGGAAGAATGTTCCTTACATTGGGGGTCAGTGGGAAGAATGTCCCTTACATTGGTGATCAGTGGGAAGAATGTCTCTTACATTGGGGGGAAGAATCAGTGGGGAAGAATGTCCCTTACATTGGGGGTCAGTGGGAAGAATGTCCCTTACATGTGGTGATTGCACATTGGGAAGTGGGAAGAATGTCCCTTACATTGGGGAGGTCATGTGGAAGAATGTCCCTTACATTGGGGGTCAGTGGGAAGAATGTCCCTTACATTGGTGGTCAGTGGGAAGAATGTCTCCTTACATTGGGGGTCAGTGGGAAGAATGTCCCTTACATTGGTGGTCAGTGGGAAGAATGTCCCTTACATATGGGAGGTCAGTGGGAAGAATGTCCCTTACATTGGGGGTCAGTGGGGAAGAATGTCCCTTACATTGGGGATCAGTGGGAAGAATGTCCCTTACCCATTGGGGGTCAGTGGGAAGAATGTCCCTTACATTGGTGGTCAGTGGGAAGAATGTCCCTTACATTGGGGGTCAGTGGGAAGAATGTCCCTTACATTGGTGGTCAGTGGGAAGAATGTCCCTTACATTGGGGGTCAGTGGGAAGAATGTCCCTTACATTGGTGGTCCAGTGGGAAAGAATGTCCCTTACATTGGTGGTCAGTGGGAAGAATGTCCCTTACATTGGTGGGTCAGTGGGAAGAATGTCCTTACCATTGGTGGTCAGTGGGAAAGAATGTCCCTTACATTGGTGGTCGTGGAAGAATGTCCCTTACATTGGGGGTCAGTGGGAAGAATGTCCCTTACATTGGTGGTCAGTGGGAAGAATGTCCTTTACATTGGTGGTCAGTGGGAAGAATGTCCCTTACATTGGGGTCAGTGGGAAGAATGTCCCTTACATTGGGGGTCAGTGGGAAGAATGTCCCTTACATTGGGGGTCAGTGGGAAGAATGTCCCTTACATTGGGTGGTCAGTGGGAAGAATGTCCTTACATTGGTGATCAGTGGGAAGAATGTCCCTTACATTGGGGGTCAGTGGGAAGAATGTCCCTTACATTGGGGGTCAGTGGGGAAGAATGTCCCTTACATTGGGGGTCAGTGGGGAAGAAATGTCCCTTACATTGGTGGTCAGTGGGAAGAATGTCCCTTACATTGGTGGTCAGTGGGAAGAATGTCCCTTACATTGGTGATCAGTGGGAAGAATGTCCCTTACATTGGGGGTCAGTGGGAAGAATGTCCCTTACATTGGGGGTCAGTGGGAAGAATGTCCCTTACATTGGTGGTCAGTGGGAAGAATGTCCCTTTACATTGGTGGGTCAGTGGGAAGAATGAATGTCCCTTACATTGGGGGTCAGTGGGAAGAATGTCCCTTACATTGGTGGTCAGTGGGAAGAATGTCCCTTACATTGGTGGTCAGTGGGAAGAATGTCCCTTACATTGGTGATCAGTGGGAAAGAATGTCCCTTACATTGGTGGGTCAGTGGGAAGAATGTCCCTTACATTGGTGGTCAGTGGGAAGAATGTCCCTTACATTGGGGATCAGTGGGAAGAATGTCCCTTACATTGGTGATCAGTGGGAAGAATGTCCCTTACATTGGGGGTCAGTGGGAAGAATGTCCCTTACATTGGTGGTCAGTGGGAAGAATGTCCCTTACATTGGTGGTCAGTGGGAAGAATGTCCCTTACATTGGTGGGTCAGTGGGAAGAATGTCCCTTACATTGGGGGTCAGTGGGAAAGAATGTCCCTTACATTGGGGGTCAGTGGGAAGAATGTCCCTTACATTGGGGGTCAGTGGGAAGAATGTCCCTTACATTGGTGATCAGTGGAAAGAATGTCCCTTACATTGGGGGTCAGTGGGAAGAATGTCCCTTACATTGGTGGGGTCAGTGGGAAGAATGTCCCTTACATTGGGGGTCAGTGGGAAGAATGTCCCTTACATTGGTGGTCAGTGGGAAGAATGTCCCTACATTGGTGGTCAGTGGGAAGAATGTCCCTTACATTGGTGATCAGTGGGAAGAATGTCCCTTACATTGGTGGTCAGTGGGAAGAATGTCCCTTACATTGGTGGTCAGTGGGAAGAATGTCCCTTACATTGGGGGTCAGTGGGAAGAATGTCCCTTACATTGGTGGTCAGTGGGAAGAATGTCCCTTACATTGGTGGTCAGTGGAAGAATGTCCCTTACATTGGAGGTCAGTGGGAAGAATGTCCCTTACATTGGGGTCAGTGGGAAGAATGTCCCTTACATTGGTGGTCAGTGGGAAGAATGTCCCCTTTACATTGGTGGATCAGTGGGAAGAATGTCCCTTACATTGGGGTCAGTGGGAAGAATGTCCCTTTACATTGGAGGGTCAGTGGGAAAGAATGTCCCTTACATTGGGGATCAGTGGGAAGAATGTCCCCTTACATTGGTGATCAGTGGGAAGAATGTCCCTTACATTGGGGGTCAGTGGGAAGAATGTCCCTTACATTGGGGGTCAGTGGGAAGAATGTCCCTTACATTGGGGGTCAGTGGGAAGAATGTCCCTTACATTGGGGTCAGGGGGATCAGTGGGGAAGAATGTCCCCTTACATTGGTGGTCAGTGGGAAGAATGTCCCTTACATTGGGGGTCAGTGGGGGAAGAATGTCCCTTACATTGGGGGTCAGTGGGAAGAATGTCCCTTACATTGGGGGTCAGTGGGAAGAATGTCCCTTACATTGGGGGTCAGTGGGAAGAATGTCCCTTACATTGGGGGTCAGTGGGAAGAATGTCCCTTACATTGGGGGTCAGTGGGAAGAATGTCCCTTACATTGGGGGTCAGTGGGAAGAATGTCCCTTACATTGGGGGTCAGTGGGAAAGAATGTCCCTTACATTGGGGGTCAGTGGGAAGAATGTTCCCTTTACATTGGGGGTCATGGGAAGAATGTCCTTACATTGGGGGTCAGTGGGAAGAATGTCCCTTACATTGGGGTCAGTGGGAAGAATGTCCCTTACATTGGTGGTCAGTGGGAAGAATGTCCCTTACATTGGGGGTCAGTGGGAAGAATGTCCCTACATTGGGGGTCAGTGGGAAGAATGTCCCTTACATTGGGGGTCAGTGGGAAGAAGAATGTCCCTTACATTGGGGGTCAGTGGGAAGAATGTCCCTTACATTGGGGGTCAGTGGGAAGAATGTCCCTTACATTGGGGTCCAGTGGGAAGAATGTCCCTTACATTGGGGGTCAGTGGGAAGAATGTCCCTTACATTGGGGGTCAGTGGGAAGAATGTCCCTTACATTGGGGGTCAGTGGGAGGAATGTCCCTTACATTGGGGGGGTCAGTGGGGGAATGTCCCTTACATATGGGGTCATGGGAAGAAATGTCCCTTACATTGGGGGTCAGTGGGAAGAATGTCCCTTACATTGGTCAGGGTCATTGGGAAGTGAATGTCCCTTACATTGGGGGTCCAGTGGGAAGAATTCCCTTACATGAGGGTCAGTGGAAGAATGTCCCTTACATTGGGGGTCAGTGGGAAGAACCAGTACATTGGGGGTCAGTGGGAAGAATGTCCCTTACATTGGGGGTCAGGGGAAGAATGTCCATGAAGACACTGATATCCTAAACAAATAAGAGCTCAGGTGGACCAAACACGGGGTGTATAAACACATCCTGATGGAATTTTGTCCCGTCACATCAACATTCCTGGAGCCCTTAGTAGCACAAAGCCATGGAAAGGATTATCTCCTTGTATTAGGTCAGGATAGGGATCTATAGACTGGTGAGTGGAGATACAAGGAAGTCATTGAGCGCGTCACGCCGAATGTGCCGACTGAAGTTTAGGAGATTATTTGTCCTGTGTTTGGTCCACCTGAGTTCTCACTTGTTAGGAGATTATCAGTCCCATGTTTGGTCCACCTGAGCTGTCATTTGTTTAGGAGATGATTGTCCCGTGTTTGGTCCACCTGAGCTGTCATTTGTTTAGGAGATTATTACAATCAGTCCACCTGAGCTGATCATTTGTTTGGAGATCCCCGTGTTTGCTGTCCTGAGCTGTCATTTGTTTAGGAGATTTATCAGCCCCGTGTTTGGTCCACCTGAGCTGTCATTTGTTTAGGAGATTATCAGTCCCCTGTTTGGTCCACCTGAGTTGTCATTTGTTTAGGAGATGATTGGTCCCGTGTTTGGTCCACCTGAGTTCTCATTTGTTTAGGAGATTATCGGGTCCCGTGTTTGGTCCACCTGAGCTGTCATTTGTTTATTTTCAGACAAGAAGTATGTGACCTGCTCAGAAAAGGGACAATTGACCCTGGAAGGACAATTTAATGGGAAGGAAGACTTTTACAGGAGGTCTCTCATTTTCCCACACCAATTCTCTGACGTCTGCAAACAGTTTTCTCTTTAATGGTTGAGGCTACAAAAACAGTTTTCTGGAATCACGAGACACAATTCAGCCATCAATTGTGTACATAGAGGGAGAGGGAACGCAGTTTTACATAGGAGTCTTCCTATAGAAACAATTCCATTTTCTCATTATTTGTCTTTTTTTTGTCTGTTGAGATTTTCTAGTTTTTGGTTGGAAATAGACGGGAACCTTTCCACTTGGCTGCCTTCACACACTATGGACGCTCACACCTCAGTGTATGCACAAAAGACCGATATCTGTACAAATACGTCATTGCTGGAGCTTGTTTGTTAGGTTGGTTTAAAAAAAACAGAAACGACAGCAAAACAAAAGAAATACAATGTATCAGTCCACCTCTCTGCCTGTAGATTGTAAGCATTATGGGCAAGGCTCTTATCTTCTGATATATGATCCTTTTGCTGTATTTTCGTATGTGAGCACCTGACCATCATACCTACCTGTCCCGTCAAATGTATATGTCCCCCCACCAGATGATGGAGTTCAGGCGTCTCCAGTGAAGGTTTTCCATTGGAAAGATTGAAAGATGTGTACAGTATGGGCAAACATATGAGTTCAGGTGTCTCCAGTGAAGGGTCCTGGTAATCCTCCATCATACAAAGACGTTGGAGACAATTGTGCTCTTCCAGCCTTGTGGTAACAGTTTGGTGAAGACCCTTTTCTGTCCCCCCATGACTGTCCCCCCGTGTACAAAGCCACCTCCATAAAGACATGGAGGACCAGTTTGGTGAAGACCCTTTTCTGTTCCCCCATGACGGTCCCCCCGTGTACAAAGCCAGCTCCATAAAGACATGGAGGACCAGTTTGGTGAAGACCCTTTTCTGTCCCCCCATGACTGTCCCCCCGTGTACAAAGCCAGCTCCATAAAGACATGGAGGACCAGTTTGGTGAAGACCCTTTTCTGTCCCCCATGACTGTTCCCCGTGTACAAAGCCAGCTCCATAAAGACATGGAGGACCAGTTTGGTGAAGACCCTTTTCTGTCCCCCATGACTGTTCCCCGTGTACAAAGCCAGCTCCATAAAGACATGGAGGACCAGTTTGGTGAAGACCTTTTTCTGTCCCCCCATGACTGTCCCCCGTGTACAAAGCCAGCTCCATAAAGACATGGAGGACCAGTTTGGTGAAGACCCTTTTCTGTCCCCCCATGACTGTCCCCCGTGTACAAAGCCAGCTCCATAAAGACATGGATGGCCAGTTTGGTGAAGACCCTTTTCTGTCCCCCCATGACTGTCCCCCGTGTACAAAGCCAGCTCCATAAAGACATGGAGGACCAGTTTGGTGTGGAGGACCTCCAGTGTCCTGTACAGAGCCCTGACCTCAAACATCTTTTTGGAAGACCTTTACTATAAGGTCTTCTCATCCAACATCAGTACCTGTCCATAATTCTACTGAACACCTTTGGGGTGAATTGGAATGCAGATGGCGAACCAGGTCAAAAATCACTACCTGACCTCACAAGTGGGCACACATTCCAACAGACTCCCTCCAAAATCTTGTGGAAAGTCTTCCCTAAAGAGTGGAGGAGGATTTAGCCACAATGAGAGGCC